AGGGTTGTAAGTGCACTAAGTAGGACCTTGACAGCTCTGAGGCATCACCAGGTTATGTTGAGTGCTTCCGGTGCTTCTAGTTCCTCGGTAGCCACCTACTAGGGGCAGACTTGTGTCCCGGACAAAACAGGACATCAGCCTGAACCCCAACACAACAACCTAAGTCAGGATCTCTAGAGTTGAGAAGTTGAAGAGCTTTCACCGCAGCCACTTGGAAATGCCTGTCCCGCAAGTGCAGATCTGAAGAGGCTTGAGACAAGGAATCAGCCGCAGCAAGAGCAATCGTGAAGATGCAAGGGATGAGTAATGGGGGTTCAGGATGAAATCCTCGTCGCAAGGATGTTATGAAGTCAAGAGCGGCAGGACTACAAATGCTGCTTCACAGCAAGGCCCTGATAGCAACGCTCTGACGTAAAGAAAGTTGGGGAAATTCTTCGTCCCGTAGCACGTTGCAACATGTTCCCCCACCATCCTTAAACAGTCTTGAGGTATTAGCTGAAACGAGGAACAGGCATGCCTTACCCTAAGGCCCCCTCCCACAAACCTTGGATTACAAAAGCAGCCCTGAAGGTGTAGAAGCGGCAAGCTCTGAAGCGGCAAGCTCTATGGAGGCAGCGCTTCTGTACGCCTCTACGAGAAGTCTACATCAGTCACGGGTACCAGCGCCTTCTTCATTTTGAGAACTGCTAATCGGCGAGCAGCGATACCATTGTAAGTTGCACAATGCAGCGGCCTCAACCCACCTACTTGCGGTTGCCTCTCTCTCTCTCTCTCTCTCTGTCTCTCTCTCTCTCTCTGTCTCTCCCTCCCTCCCTACTGAGGGCTTTCTTTTCCAGTGGGGCTGTTGGATATTGACCAAAGCCGGAACCAAGATTGCAAGCCAGACCACTGAAAGAAATCATGTGGAAGGGTTCCTGTAGGATGCCTGCCTGTTAGACATGCTAGTGTTCTTCCTTTTTCTGTACATCGCCGTGTGTATACTAATCTCCGGATACCCCTGCGCTGCCCGGCGGGCACTAACGATATGAACTACAACCCCCGTCAGCCAAGAACAGACATAGGATGTGTACAACTTGCCTCATTTCTCATTGCTGCTACCCTGTCTTCCTGCAACCATCTTTGCCAGACTTGCCGGTTGAAAGGTGCAAGGGAGGTCCAAGACACGTGCATGCAGGCAGGCTCATCTTGCTCTGAACTTGCGTTGCGACAGGAAGTCGTCTGGAACGCTGAGGCTTCCCGTCAGCCTGGGTTCCATTTCAACCTTGGGGTCAAGCCAGGTTAGATTGTGGGGTGTGTCTTAGAAGTAGCATGCTGCAGCTTGACTTGAAGCTGGCATAGGCGTTCTACATTTCGGAAACGTACAGCCTGGACTTCTGTTGTGTTGGAAGGGATGAGGGCCTGGTCTGAGAGTCTAGACTGGCGGTGATTTGTAGGGTCTGCGGCACGGTTTTGGGCTCGGAACGACTCAGCCAATAAGGCAAGCAATGGCAGAATAAGGCATCTGTTTGGCTTTGCAATCTGCAATCCGACATGCCCGAAAGTAAAACTTGAATCTTAAGCCCTAAGCTCAAGCCCTAAAAAACACTTTACGTGTTAACCCCTCAACCGGAGGCAGCGAAAGCGCATCAGGCTACCGTAAGTCCTCAACCAAGAACTTGAGCACCAATGATGTGAGTGTGAAGTTAACCCATTGCTTTGGAGCTCCTATGTTGCTTGGAGGCTAGGAGACCTAATTGGCTGTTTCGTTTCTTCAACATTTTTGGACTCAGGTAGTTCTCTGGCCCGTGTCTACACCGGGCTAAACAGTGGCTTGTTTCTCACTCGAAGCAGACCCTGATGAACCCTGGCACGTTTCTGGAGTCCGTGAATGTAGACCAAAGCCCAATTACCTCCATGACAGACTCAGCAATGTGATCTGGTAGTGGCAATGATGATTGCGTTTCTGATGCCGATCAGGATGGCAATGCTTGTTGATGGTTATAAGGGGTGTGGTTCAGAAATTGCGCCTCGATACATAGGGCAAATGAATACACTGCATTGCAGAACAGGAGTACAAGAGTCAAGCACCAACAGAAATGCGTCGCTGCTCAGGTGTTCAAGGAGCCTGGCACAGTTCTTGCAGGGGCCGCAGATACATGTTAAAAAAGACTGTTTCAGGCAAGTCCGTGAATTTTCTTCAGCAAAGGATTCATACGCAAAAAGATCAAGAAGGTTGAGGCCTAAACTCCGGATCCCCAACAGTCCGCTACTCCGATGGCAACAACAGCTTCTGTTAACGGCAAAACCTTTTATCACCTCATAGACCCTAGGAAAGAGAGTATAGAATGCTGCGGATCCTAAGGCGTCCAATGATTCCTCAACCGGGTCCTTATTTGCAGGTCAGATTATGGGCATTTTACAGGGGTTAGATAGAGGTCATGATTCATGTCCACTGCATCCAGCGGCTCGCCTTCCTTGTCTCAAGCCCTCAACTCCAGTCCCGAAGCTTAATCATGTAACGGAATCCCTGAATGCCAACCCCCAAGAAGCTGGTCCCAGACCCCTAAAAGAAGTGGAGGAAGAAACGGAGATAGTGCATCTCATGCAGCACAACATGACATGACATGGTTTGGCTACCTGCAGGACAAGCTGGAAAGGCAAGGCGATCGGGAATACCAATACAGACCCATGTGGGTCAGTTGGAGCGCTTCACCAACAACCCAAAGAGGACGTTCACAAGGCCACAGCATCCGACGCGTTTCATTGACAGCCTTGGCTGACATGCAGCAGCAACGCTTACCGCATTTGTTGTGCATGGCCCGGACATGTGCATGCTCCTTCCCCTTAATTTCCCAAATGCCTGAACAGAACCCTTTTGAGAGAGAAAGAGAGCCAGAGCTTCCAGAACGGGGTCCTCGACCCTGAGCAAAACCAGACAGCCATGGACAACGCCTCGGAACATGTAGTAGGCAAATCCGCATTGTTGTGGAAGCTTCTCATGAGACTTGTCTGTCTTTATTCTAGGATTGAATGAGAGCCCTGCAGTTCTCTTTACAGAGGCTACCTGTCGATTCTTCAGGGCTGCCATATATTCAGCCACGTAGCTGCAGCCATCAATCAGGCAGTGCGCAGTTGCTACTCCCTTGGCATCAAAAGAGGTTGATCTCCACATCATGGCATGACTACCGTGTGTTTTGGGCTACCGTGCTGGAGCTCTGAATTCAAGAAACACCCCATGTGCAGCTTTTGACTTGTTTGGCCCATGATGAAGACCTCTCTTCTAGCCTATCGCAGATTGCCTAGGTAACGTGGCTTTTTTTGAGTCTGCAAAAGCAGCTTTTCACCAGTCCTCATTCTCTTCCCCAGGCCTCATATGAAGCACCAGAACCAGCACTCCTCGCACTCTTTGCACGCTCTCAAGCCCATGCTTTCTGTCTCCTAGGTCACGCATCCTACTTGCACCAACCATCGTGCCATTCCCAAGGACGGCAGTCGTGCCAGACTTCAAGCTTGGGTTGCTCGGGTAGAGCTAATGTGAGGGTTCTCCCGAAAGTGTCTCCGTGAATCTTGCTGCTTCGGGATTGAAGCATGAAGATGCCTCCTCCTCCTCCCCCTCTTCCGCCTCGACCTCCTCTCAGTCTCGCCCGCTTTGCACGTTGCAATCGCAATGCGGAGGGCTAGAAGAGGACAGTTCGTGGCGGCCGCCTTGAAAACAGTGCCTCATGGGGTATAGCTTGAGAGCCTGCAACAAGGCGGTTCCTGTCACGGGTAACAACACGATCCGGACTATGTGCTAGTTGCACGCTCACCAGCTCATGGTAATCCAGCTTTACTTTTGGTTTCGTAGTGAGAGGGATGGTCCTGTTATCCGCTTCAGGTTTTGGCCCTTCATGCAGAGCCGTCTCACGTGGTGTCCAGTTCTTCAGCTTCGAATCTTCATGCAGCCTGAAATCTTTCAACTTGAGCCAATACTCGCAACTCCGAGCACGCAAGCAGTTCCAAGGAAAGGATCCCCTCAAGCATCCCTGATCTTAATGTCTTCCCTTGTAGAGCTGGGCCTGGGGAAGCTGAATTTTGAGATCTTCGAGGGATCTTGGATTTGCGCTTCACAGGTGCATGATCCGACATTCCGTAATGCAGCACCAGGTAGAGGTTGGTATGCGCTGAGACTGCAAGTTTGTGCAGAGTAAGCCACCGCAGCATGCCTCGAGCTGCCAGAATGATTAGCTTGAATAAAGTGTGTTCCCAGCGGTAGTGGCCATCGCTATATCAATATTTGTAGCAATGACCATGGTAGTGGAAATCGTAGGTGAGGGACTCATAGCAGGCAGCCCTGTAGAATTCTGTGATCTGCAAGTGTTTGCTGCAGCCTGTGTGCTCAAGCATCACGTCTGCATAGCAAAAGAAATAGTCGTCATTCCTCGGAATGGCTGGCTTCCTTGAGTACCGCAGGACTTTCCTCCACGTGCAGGAGCCATGCTTAGAGGCAGGGTCAGGCAGATAGCGTTTTCCATTGTAGAAGATTCATAAGAGCTTATGTTAAGGGTGAGCGCCAGGGAAGGCTTCAAGGGTCGTATCAGGACGCAATTTATTGCCCTGTACCTTAAGTGCTTGCTCGAGCCGCGTCGCTTCTTGAGCTAGGCAGTTGAACTTCATGACTGGGGGATTTTGCAAGCCATAAGTCTAGACCTACTTGGCAGCTTCAGAGGCTTCTAGGCGTTGGGCAGCCCCTGCCTTACCAGCAGGAGTATACAAAGATTGGTCAGGGACGACGAGACAGATAGCAAGCGTCTTTGTCAGACATGGTATATGCATAGGCGCTGTACCAGCTTGTGCAATCATTTTCGGTTCTTGCGGTTCTTTTTGCGGTCTTTTTGTCGCAAGTCATTGCCATGTGGGACACGTCCTGAACCTCTTTCTGCAATTCAAATGACCCGGAACATGCAATAAGCCAAAACAGAGGTTTCTGTGGATGCGAAGGATCCGGGAAATTGTGGTGTAGCACATGCGAGCATGTGAGGATGAACATGTATCCGACGGACCGTAGTTTGTCGGCTCCGTCGCATTTTCGCTTCCCGCCTCCTCTTCGCCCCTTTCGTCGATCCGGCGACATGGCGTCAACTCCTGTTTCGTCGATTGCCTCCTCGGCGACCAACGTCGCCGACGTGTTGGCGTCGCTGGGCAACGACGAGTTGGCGGCGGAGGTGGGGAGCTGGTCGGCGGAGCTGCAAGCCAAGGTGGTGGCGGCAGTATCCGCCCTTTCTTCGACGCCAACATCGACATCGGCGTCCACAGCGGTCCGGCGCCGCAAGAGCAACAAGCTCGACGCGGCCTCCTCCTCTACGGCGGCGTCATGGCTGGCCCCGGCGGTGGCGCCGGCTGAACTCACGGCAGAGCTCGCCGCCATCCAAGAGAGCGACCGATCTCCGGCGGCGACAACCGTAGCCGACGAGGAGGTGATCAACTTCGGCGCCATGCAGACGCCGCTGGGCAACCCGCCCGTCGTCATGGTGGATGTCAGCGGCGCCATCGGCCCGGACCTCGGCGGACCAGGAGACGGCAGCGCCGATACTGGCGGCCTCAGCGGCGTTGCAGGCGGCCACGGCGGCGTGGTCGGCACGACCTCGGCGCCTACTGCCACTACTTCGTCCGCTACGGCATTCTTGGCGGCGGCTGGCGGCGATGGCAGCACGACATCGGCGCCTATTACCACGTCACCTACGCCCATGCCGGCGAAAGCCGGGTTTTTGGCAGCCTACGGCGGCGATGAGGGCCCAACAACGGCGCCGGCGCCGGCCACACCCACAACGGCGCAGCCGAAGCCGACGGCACTGCCGCCGCACCCATCGGCGCAGCCGCAGTCAAAGGCTCCGCCCCCCCCGTTCAGGGGGGACAACATCGACGCTTCGTCTGCTGCGTCGCCCGATGTGCCGGCGGAGGTCCTCATGGCGAAGCGCCCGCCGGCGGAGTTGCGGCTGCCCGGCCCAGAGCCGGCCCCGGCGCAGCGGAGCAGCATGGAGGAGCTCCAGCGCCAAATCGCCGCAGAGATGTCTAATGCGGCGCAGGAGACCGGCAACTGGGAAAGAGCCGGCGATGGTGAGGCCGGAGCGGCCCGGCGGTGTCAGATTCAACACGGCGGTCTTTGTGCCGGACGTCGACTGGCCCGCCTACAAGCGGCGGATGGAGGGCCGCGGCGCATGGTCCGTCGAGTTGCTGCCCGAGGACCTCGAGCTCCTGGCGGTGCCCGACTTCGCCGCCCTCCAGCGGCTGTATGCCGGCGCCGGCACCTTTTTAGTGCCATACTCCCCGGCGGCCAATGCGTTCTTCATTCGGCGCCTACCTCCCGACCAGCGCGGCGGGCGCATCCCGAAGAAGCATGCCAACCGACGCGTCGCTGGGTGGTGCGGCGCCCGGTGCACCAAGACGCCAAACGCCGCATGCGGCAATAATGGGATGCTTGCGTCCCATTATATGCTCGGCGTTAGCAACGGGCATACCGGGCATGCCTGCCCCGCCGACCACGACCACCTGGCCCACTTCGCTGGCAGGTGATCGGCGGCTCTTCGGCGTCATCGGCGACTTCGGCATCCTCGGCTTCATCACGACGGGTGCCTTTGGTCGTGTGACGCCTGCCCCTTGGCTAATTAATTCGGCGTGGGCGACGCCCCCCACCTTTTGTCCCGCCGCTCGGCGGTTTTACTCGGCGCAAACGCGCCTGCACCTACCTCGGCGGGGTCGTAAGCCCCCCGTCGCTTTCGGCCTTTAACCGGCCTCTGCCAGGGTTAATTTGTGGCGCTCTTTTGGCTAGCCGACTCGGCGATGCCCGCCCGGCGCTAAGACGACCGGCGCACTTGTTTAGTGCAACAGCGACAAAACCAAGGGTCAGGGGTCCGACGTCTGCAGTGCAAGGGTCGGCAAAGCTGGGCAAGGTTAGTAACGACGCTGCGGCAGACGCCCGTAGGCTCAAGTCGTCTGGCTCAACAATCGGCGGTGCAAGCCCGTTATGGCTTCTGACGCACCGGCGCCCGAAGGTACATTCGCTCAGGTGGTGGAAGCGGCGATCGCCGCTGGTTTGGCGGCAGCTCTGCCTGTGCTCGCCGAGGCCGGCGTCACCTGCATCGACAACATTCGCCGGGGCCCTGTGCTTGACGGCGTCCCCCCCTGAGCATTTGGTACAGATCGTCGAGGCAAGTCAGGTGACGGCATCGGCCGGCCAGTCGCAGCTGGCCACTCAGCCGTGGCCACCCAGGCCCGACGCCCCTATCCGGAGACCGGCGTTGAGGGCATCCTTCTCGGCAGGGCTGGAAGCGGCGCAACCGGCGAACAGAAAGAGGGCGCTCGACAACCTCGACGAGGGCATGCTCGCCAGGTCGTCCCACCAGCCCGTCAAGTCTCGCCTGAGGACTTGGCGACGATACGCGGCGGCGTGGGAGGTAGAGGGCGTCGCCGTTTTCCGCTTGCTCAGGGACCTCGGCCTCACGGCGACCCATGTGGCTATCGACGTGCCGCTCCACAAGACGGCCCCTAACGGCGAGTGCGTCATGACACGCCGGCCTGGAGTGCGCGTGCGGCGTGCAGGTACAGCGGCTTGCCCATTCCACGCGGCTCGCTTCGGCTGCGCCTTCGAGGGTCCACCGGGCAGGACGACCCGCTACTGCCGGCGCAGGACGGCGGATTCAGGCCAAAGCACGCCGTGATCCACAAGTTCCGGCAGGTGCTGCAGGCGGCGGGGGTCGAGCTGACGTACACAGACCCCAACGGCAGACAGCGGTCTTCGGCGGCCATGCGGCTAGGGTGGCAGGCGCCTCCTTCCTGGCAGCCCACGGCGTCCCAACCCGTGATTCAGCTGCTCGGCCGTTGGACCTCTAGGCTTGTGGAAAGGTACACCCAGAGCGCGCTGTTGGCCTTCGGTGCGGTGGCAGCGGTGCTAGGTAACGCGGCGATGGGCCCAGGGGGTGGCCCTCGCCAGCTCGCGCTACGTCTCAGAGGGTGGACCGCGCACCGAAGCGGCGCTCGGGGCAGAGGGTCCTCGGGGAGACGGCGTGGTATACGTACCGCCGCCGAACGCACGCCTGGCGGCACAGGCGGAGCCGACGCTGGTAATGCACCCGCGGACGCTTAAGGTACACAAGGCGTCGCCCAATGAGGCCGACCTCGAAAGAGCCGAGTGGGTGACCCCCTACGGCCGCTGGTACTATGGGGCTAAGAACTTTTACCGGCTCGACGGGATGTTTCCCGACGCGGACGCCTGCCTCCGCTGCTTCCCGCCGCCGGCAGAGCCGGCTGAAGACGACGTGCCACCGGCACAGGCAGAGGAGAGGTGCGACCAGGGGGAGTCGTCCTCGTCGTCGACCGTGGCCGAGTCATTGGCGGAGTCCGGCTCAGACGCCTCAGCGGCAGTAGAAATCGACTAATGTCGGCGCAGACCGACCTATAAGTCGTGCCAGGATCGGCGCGGAAAAACAGCTTGCGACGCGGCTCCAAGCACTTGTGCCGACTGTGCCTGAGGTGACTCCTTCGACTGTGTAGCAATTTGGATCCTCAGTCGGCCGCTGTCTTATCGTCGCCCCCCATGGCTGCCACCTTGACCCTGGCTATGGCGGCGTCCTCGATGATAGCCTTCGCGGACCTGGCTCGTCAGGCAGGGGCAGGCCCCCCGCTCGTCGACTACCTGACGGCGAAGGGCTTGGACCGCACGGCAACCCTCGCGCTCATCGTCGACAACGTTGCCGACTTGGTCCGCCAGGTCGTCGAGCCATTCACGGCGGGGTGCACTATCAACGGCGTCGACACTCGGCACAGCCCGAGCACCACGCCACCGTGAGGGCCATCATCACCCACATGTGGCGGGAGGCGCGCAGGCAATGGGACATAGCCAGGCGCCTCCCCCGGCCACGGGCACCGACCTCGACGCCCACAACGACGGTGACCTCGACGGGCATGGCGGTCGACCCCGACGACAAAATCCCCAAGACCTTCGCTCGGAGGCAAGAAGCGGCGCTTCCCCGAGAACATGCTCGCCGGCGCGGAGTCCGTCCTGGCCAGGGTGTGGCATGAACACACCAAAACCAGCCTCGGCGAAATCCTTCAGAAGCGGCTGTTCGCGGCGTCCGGCGACGTCAACCCGCTGACACTGCTATAGGCAGGGATCGTCGGCGGCGGCCGGCCAGGCGCTTCGACTTGTGAACGGCGAGGTGGTCTCGGTCGAGGATCCCCAGTGGGCTCCACGGTCTCTGCTGGCGATCATCGACGGCGTCGACGCGGCCAGGTGGGCCCTCATACTCGTCGAGGTCGGCAAAGAAGAGGACGTTAACATGTTCGCCGACTGGTTCGTCGCCAATCCCACCAAGCTCGACCAGGTGAAGCGGCTGTGGCTGAAGGCGTCGTGGGCCATTGCCTTGGGAATGCGGGCCGGCAAGACGTTCAAGGAGATGGCGGCAGAGGTCATCTCCGACACGGCGATGTTCAACGAGGTCATGGCATACGTCGAACCGGCGCCCAAGCGCAACCCGGCCAATGGCAACACCAACGACGACGACCAGCACCGCGTCGCGCTTGAGGCAGGGGCCGCGGCGCCAACCGCCAGTACCGGCGCAGGACCTACGACGACGACTACCGAGGCAATCGCCGCGGCGGTGGCGGCAACCGGGATCGACGGGGTGACCCGTGCAGAAGACCGCGACGATCGAAGGGAGGACCGCCGAGACGACCGTCGAGATGACCGTCGGGGAGACCGAGATCAAGATTGGCGGCGCGGCGGCGGCAGAGGCTGCCGCCAGCAGTATCAACAGTGGACACACGACGAGGATCGGCAAGGCGACCGTCGCCAGTGGGACGCCTGGGGGCAGCAGTCGGGGGCCACCGGCGGCGACAAGCGCAAGGACGACCGCCGCTAGGGACAGCACGGGGCCTCGTCGGAAAACGGGGTACCCGGCCCTTCGACCAAGCGACTTCGACTCCGACAGCGCGCCCCCAACGGCAGGGAGATCATCCTCCTCTCCTTCTTCGACGGGATCGGCGCGGCGCCCTACATCCTGGACCGGCACTTCGGGAAGTTAAAGGCGGCCTTTGCGTGGGAGATCGACGGCGCTTGCCGGAGGGTGGCCGAGGAGCGCCTCCCTTGGCTCAAGCAACGGGGCGACTTGACTAAGGACTCGGCAGATGACGTCGCCAGCATCATCGAAGAAGTCGACCCCGGCGGCGAGGCGATCATCGTCGTCACCATGGCGCCGCCATGCCAGGACTTCAGCCTGATCAGGTCCGACGGCCCGGGGCACCGAGGCAAGAACGGCGGCCTCTTCCTAAAGGCGACCGGCTTTGTCGACGACATCAAGCGGCGCCTGCCGCGTCGGAGGTTCGGCACCCTCGCCGAGAACACCACCATGCGGAAGGAGGACGCGCAGATCATCTCCGACGAACTCGACTGCCAGCCGGTCCTGGTCTGCGCGAGTGACATATCCCGGCCGCGTCTGTTCTGGTTGTCTATCGACTGGTCCGACGTCCGACAAGACCCGGCGACAGGAGCCCACCTGGTATGGTCAGTCCAGGACGGCTGGGACCGCCTGCGGCTTGACGCCACGCGGCTGTCGACCGACGACTTCGACCTCGCCGGCCTCAAGTTCCACCCCGCGGTCTTTTGCGGCAGGCGGTGCATGCCATGCTCCACCACACCGGCGCCAGATGAGAACGGCCGACCGGCGCCTCGCAACCAGCGCGGGTCAGTTCCTCCCGACGCTAAGGATCGTTGGCTTGCCGACAAGCGGCATTCGCCCCTTGGCACTACGTCAGGGAGGCGCTCTTGGAGGACGACGGCGGCCGGCTGGTGGTGCCGCCCCCCGACGTCAAGGAGCAGCTCCACGGCGTCCCAAAAGGGTTCACCGACGTCAAGGCAGTCGACACGCGGACCAGGCATCGACTGGTGGGAAACGCTGGCACTGGGGCGTGGCACCACGCTGCTCCACCATCGACTTTGTGGCCGGCATCCTCAAACCCGGCCTCTCGATGGCATGCCGGCCGCCACAAGCACCGGCAGCCGCGCCAGAACACGGCGTGGGCCCCATCGTTTTCTGGCAGCTTGCGGCCGACATGGCCCACCCGACCACGGCTCGGCCGGTCCTCGAGCCTGCTTCAGAGTTCTTGCTCGTCATTCGGGGCCAACTCCGCCACGACATCCATAGAATCCGGCGGGAGGTGCGGCAAGAAATCCAGCAGCTCATCGAGGACGGCAAGGATGACCTCGACGAGTGGCTTAAGCACACACCGGCGGCGGTGAGGCAGACCTTTGCCACCCTCGACAAAGTCCGGCCCACGCAGGTCCTCGTCCTCCTCGACCTCTGCGACGCCTGGACTACCCCGACATGAACGGCATAACCGACGACCTCACCAACGGCTTCGACATGGTGGGCAAGGTGCGGCCAGGACCAGGATGGCGCAAGCGCACCGACGGCCGGTACAACGACCCCGAGCACATGCAAGACGTTTGTCGACGCAACCGGCAGTATGTGCAGAACCGGCTGCAACGGCCCACCCCGTCGCAGCACGCCAAGCAGCTGCTCCAGGAGCTGGTCGAGGAGCAGCGGCTGGGCAGGGTGGTCGGCCCTTTGAGAGCACCGGCGGACTGGCCATGCCAGACGGTGGCGTTGCCCCACATCAGTGGCTGTGACGCCCTCCTCGACGCCCCGGCCGGCCAGTTCCTGGCGGCAGCATCCTTCCCGACCTTGCACGGCGCATGGCCGAAGAGGACACCGACCTCGTCGCCTTTGGCCACGACATGCTCAATGCATACCGGCAATGGCCGGTACGGCGACCAGAGCACTGCGCCACTTTCCTGCCGACTGCGGCGGGGGTCACCCTGTGGATGCACATGGCCATGCGCTTCGCCGCGTCCGTCTGGAACTTCAACCGGGCAGCCGACGCGGTCCAGCTGGTGGTGCGGGCCCTGGTCCTCCTCCTCGGGGGCCACTACTTAACGCCGTGGACTTCAACAACCTTGCCGACTCCGCCTTCGACACCTTCGACGGCGTATTCGGCGACCTAAGGCCCAGCCGCCGTCCAAAGAGCTGGTGATACAGGGCGTCCAGGTCCACCTCGGCGACAAGGGCGTCACGGTCCAACCCACCCGGCAACGAGTCCGGAAGCTGCAGGCCATGATTCGCGAGGTACTGGACACCGGCGTCCTCGACCCACCGGCGGCGCAGCGCCTATCCGGCAAGCTCGGCTTCCTCACCCAGGCGGTGTTCGGCGCGGGGGCGGGCGGCCATCCAGCCCATACACAAAAGGGCGGCGCAACCAGGGCGGACGGACACCAACCTTACACGGAAGCTGGTCGACGCGCTCCTTGCGTCGGCGGCACTTCTGGACCACATCCAACCCAGGTTCGTCCCGTACAGCGAGCCCAGGTCGACGCAGGCCACTATCTTCGCAGACGCGTTCTTCGTCGACCAAGGCCGCCACATCAAAGCTGGACATGTGCCCAACGACGCCGGCAGACATCGGAACCAGCGTCGCCGCAACGGCTGGGGCTACGTCGTACAGATCGACGACCAGGTCTTCTATGACTTCGGCGAGGCACCGCCCTGGTTCCTCGACGTTTTTGCGGAGCGGAAGGCCTTCATCTACGCCCTGGAGATCCTCGCACAGGTCCTGGCCATTGCCACGTTCGCCGCTCGACTGCCGCCATTGTGGACGGCTTACATCGACAACGTCGCCGGCCAGTGCGCCCTCACCAAGGGCTACGGCAACAATGGCGCAGTCAACGGCATGGTGGCCGCCATGTGGGGGCTTGCGGCCGCGCAAGCATGGGCACCCACTTCGAGCGGGTACCATCGGCAGACAACATTTCCGACGCTCTCTCCCGGGGCGACGAGAGCGAGGCCAAGCGGCGGGAGTGGACTAGAGTCCACACCCGCCAGGACGAGATCCTCCAGATCCTCTACCAGGCCGGCACCTCGACGCAGTACGCCACGGCCTCGGCACCGGCGGAGCTGCTCAACATCGCCTTCTGAGTGCCGTCGCTTTATGGGGGGTGGGGGCGCCGGGCGGGTGCAGAATGCGCCCCCGCTCNNGCGTAGTTCGCCGGTGCATGTTGTGTAGCACATGCGAGCATGTGAGGATGAACATGTATCCGACGGACCGTAGTTTGTCGGCTCCGTCGCATTTTCGCTTCCCTCCCGCCCACCCTGCGAAAAGGGAGGGCTGCGGGGGGCAGCCTTGCTTACATGAGTTTGTCGTCGCGAACCACACGACCAGCGGACGGGTGCAGAATGCGCCCCCGCTCCGGCTGTGTCGGCGATGGATTCGCGACCGACGGATGAGTCGGATTCGCACCCTTGAAAAAGGATCCTGCCGTATGCACTTCTCGCATGCCATTTTGCGGCGTAGTTCGCCGGTGCATGTTTGGGCGCTTCTTGGGTGGCGAAAGACTGTGAAAGGTACGGCGAGAAGAGGGTTTCTGGGTAAAGGGAATTGGACAACCTCCATCTGAATAACTTTCAGCACATGCAACTAGATGCAATCTAGAAAGCAGGGCACGTCGGTTGTTCTCAACAATATGAGTCCAGAAAGAGTACTTTGGTGTTCGCATGAACCTAACTCTGGAAACCACCCCATCATGGGCCACAGCGGCTTAGAGCCCAACCTGGAGATCCTAACGCTGTGCGCACCATGATGTGCAGCCGTGTACTTACTACACGACATTACACTAAGCTACAAGGAGCGACATGGGAGGTTTGGTAAACATTGAACCTCACCTTGCAGGAGCCCAGGGTTCACGCCCCGGTGCGGGCACGAAGCGTTCCTCCAGGTGTGCCGGGGCTGTGGTGGACCCGGTCTCTGGTAGACGTTGCCTAGAGTTTAGGAATAAGACGAGAAATGCTTTGGGCTTCGGACTTGTGGCAGGACAGTTGAACAGCGATCCTAAAATTCAAAACATCTCAGCTCTAGGTTGATCAAGGGTTGTGGACTTGGGGGTTTCGGCTTCCTGGTTTCTGGTGCCTCCTGGGGTTGACGGCTTGAGGCTTCTGTAAAACATCCTGACCAAATCCGCTGCGGAATGTGATGCGTCTCGCGCGGCAGCTTCCCAACATTCAGGGATTTTTGTATACCCAGGAGAAGTGGATCTTGTTTGAAAAGATCCCCCTAAAAGCAGTCTGAGGGGTTGCCGCTTGGCCGGCGACGGTGATGCCATGTCCACTTTGGGTTTTTCTATTGGCCATAGGGGTTCTGCAAAAGGTACATGAGAGTGATGGGGTTGGACAGGGGTGATTGGGGCTTTGAAGTCGGGCACTCAATTTGAGAGATACTTGAGCAAGTGGCTGTTGCTGTGAGCACGCGTTGCGTAAAGCCCTAGATCTGATGGGAGCGCTTTTGTGTCCGAGAGAAAAGCTGCCAACAACACGTATACGCAGATGTCTCGATCTTTTCCAGAATGTGCTTTTACATGCCTCTACAGATAGATGGGTTCTGGTAGCTCCAGGACTCGTCAGAGACTGTTTGCACAAGAGCTACACTGTAACTCACGGAACCCTACATGGCTTGCGGGCCTCAGCCCGCAACCCGAATATTCTCATCAACAACCTGAGCAATTGCAGAACACTCTGCTGTTCAAGAGGTTTTTTTCGGGCACCATGTTGGTAGAAAGGCTGAATCCTAGACAGGCTCTTCATGAGGTTGGGATGTCTGCACATGTGAGCTGTGGAAACTGCAGGCGGGCGCTATGACGATTCTACCAGATACCAGGACTTCTCTCTGGGGTGCTCGAAAGGTCGTGCTGCATGTGACCGTGATTCTCATTCCGTGAAAAAATCACTTGAGGGCTATGCCTTTTGGCACGATCTGGGCTCCAGTTAATGCATTTCGGATCTGTGTTTTGCTTGTCTGTGTGTCGAGTGGCTCTGCTGTTATGAGTTCAGCGGGTGTTCTGCTCGCATGGACTGAGATGTCAGCCTGGGATCTGAGCTTCGGACTTGACGATTTTTGTCCGAGTCCGTGCGCTTCATAGCACTATGAGTATGTAGTGGCCTGGGCATGATTACTTTCACATCGGTGTCACTATGTTTGGCAGTACTTATTTCTCGCTGATCGTTCAACTTAGTATTCTTATTTTCCTTGTTAGTTAATGAAATCAACACAGGCTGTTTGACTCTTCCCCACAAAGTCATTTCCGGATCAGTGTCCAGATTCTGTGTATATGTATGTTTCCTATGGTCAAAGAGGCTAACCCACCATCCCTCTAGGGTGTTTTTCCGCATCTAGGAGGTGGTTACAGGCCTCCTCCACCGGGCAGCAGACCTGTGGGAACACTGCTCAGCTGAGGCTTTTCCAGTCTATGGGTTACGGGCAACAGGTTTGGATGTTAAGTTGTAGGGCTTGGGAGTCCAAGTTGAAGGTGGAGGCTTGAGGGTTTGAGGTTCAGGCTTTCGGGCAATGAATTGGTCTGTCGGCTTCAGCGCGCTTTTCGGGTCCAGGAGTATTTTGTAGACTCCAGCATTGGCGTTTTGAAGTCTTGCCCATGTAAGGACATATGGGAAACAAACCCTTCCGGCCCCTCAATTGTCCGTTCTGTGGAGATTATTCAGGAGTCTGCAGGGTTCTTCAGGGATTGCATGACGGGTCTGCAGGGATTGTGAGTATTGGGGTTGCAATTTTGTCAGCGGCGTCGTTGCGTATACCATGTCATGGAAGGAGTTGGAGCCTTCGAGGGTTTTGGGGATAGGGCTTGGGTTTATGACTCATTGAGGCAAGCGTTTATGGGGTTGGCGGGGAAGACATTCGGTATGCTCCATCCTGTACTCTCATGCACCTCAGCGTAAGCCCTGAGACGTATGGAATGCAGCGCTGCAAACAGAGCTTAAGACTATGCTGAGGCCCCGGGCTCCAACTACTTAGCCTTGACTCCCTGAACATCCCCGCAACGTTTCTTGAACATACGCTATGCATAGGGAACATTTTCTTCATGGGTCCTCTATGTATAGCGATGATTCAGGGCCCCAGGACAGATCCTTTGATAAAACGCATTCTTGCTTTGAGCCTCTCATGCAACAAGGGAACTTGCAAGCCCTAAACTATGCAACCTGAATCGTGGGCCCGGAGCAGAAGACCAGAACACAGACCCTGGGTCCAGCATGGTGACCTCTACACGTGGTTTTGGGGCTTTGGGTTTAGGATCAAAGGTTTAGGTGTGACGGCTTTAGCAATGTTGACTGCGCCTGGGGAGTCGTCAAGTCGATTCGGAAGCCAATCCCCAGGAAGTTTCTAACGCTATTGTTGCACATACGGGCAGGACGGCCCTTCGTAGTGTCAGTAGCGGAAGTACAAAGTTGCCATATTGCCAGATGACTAATATCAAGATAGCATGTCATGGGTCGCCACATTGTTCTCACTTGTTCCCACGAGCAGTGTCGACAATCTCCCACGTGGTTTAGGTAACAAAGTAGGGGTAGCGTTATCCTGACAGCCAAGAAGACACTCAGAAGTCTCGCAATGATCTCCCTATATCCCCTTCCTTACCTTCCATATCCAATCCAATGGGGTCATCCCTTGTGTGCTGAACGGAGGATTCCGAACGTCCTGCAGCAGAACAGGTACTGGACGATGAAGGCATGGGGCAAGGCTGGCCCACTTGAGGATGAAAGCCTATCGGATCAAGGTTCAGGGCTTCACACAGAATACATTCAAAGCTGAATTTGCAGCCTCCCACATCCTTGCGTGAAAGCTGTAGGAAACAACAGGGTTGACGTTGCCAATGAATGTGCAGTCTTTTTTTCAGAGTTGGGGCGAACAGGGCCATTCGAAGGCTGGAGCATCAGGGGTCTTGTCTTCAAACGCTCCTCCCTTGAGTTCGGGTTTTGGAGGCCTTACTGGAGTGATGCAGGGCAAGGAAAAATGGCATTGAGTCTAGGGTAAGGTTCTGGGTCCAAGCTCAGGTTGTTGGTGTCTTGGTTAGGATTCGGTGCACGAGGCCAGAAGCTTGCAGACAAGACCCTGGTATGATTTTTAGTTCGAGTTCCTGGGGGCCGTGTTTCAGTACCGGAGTCCCATCACAGAGGGTTTTGGAGAGGGATAGGCAGACGAGAGTGCCCACTTTGCAACGGCAGCCAGAAAGGGATAACACTTGTCTTCTTGTGTGTTTTTCGTCCTCAGTCCTGTTCACAAGAAAGTGCAACAATCCTCCGCGAGGAGACCTGCCAAATGCTCACGCGCACACCCTTTATGCCTATCCAAGTCTTACCCCGTGCTCTCTTTGAGACCCTTCCCCCTAGGCTCCGTGGTAAAGTTCCCATGTCTAACGCCCTAAATCTTGGAATTTCGCTTTGGGATCCCCAACTTCTCCATTCCGCAACGTTGGGCCTGGACCCCGCCTTTGGGCATTCTAATGGTGATCTTTTTGGGTTCTGGAGGTTGGCTATCAAGATTAGGAACCTCAACCAGAGATGTATTTGAAAATCCAACGCCCTGCAGCCCTCTTTAGAATCAATGCTAATTGCCCTAAGCTTCTAACTTAACCTGTGGAAGGAGACAGCAAGTTCTGAAAATGTAGTTTCCATGAGGTCCAGGGATCAAGGTAATTACTCTCCACACCATGCCGTATGTGGAGAGGTGCCCAAAAGGACACCGGCCTGGAAGATGAAGGAGGCCATGGCGGGACACGGCAATCCACTCAAGCTATCTAACCGGATCAGGTTCTTTTTTCTCAAAAAACCGTCTGGTAGGTTTTTGCCAGAAGATGGGACCCAGACTACGAAGTTGTTGATTCATTAAAGAATGAGTTGTAACGGCTTGGACAGGGAGTCCAGATAACACAGCTAGCGGATGTGCTGCATCTTCCCTCTCACTGACTTGATGTTGCAGCAATGTCTGCTGCGGTGGGGTTGGCATGGTGCAGCGTCGGCATGAGGAGGTGAAAGGGGTGGAGTCAACGAGAAGTGGCAGCTATGGAAGCAGGAAACCGTGGATGTAGGACACGAGCCAACCGAAGCACCAGGATTGCAAGGACAATTGGCCTTTG